TAATGTGCCTCATTCAGGACTCCCTCACAATGCAGGTAATGTGCCTCATTCAGGACTCCCTCACAATGCAGGTAATGTGCCTCATTCAGGACTCCTCTAGCAACCGCTCGTTCAGCACAAAGTCAAACCAGCGGTACTCAAACATTCTCCGAAGAGACACAGTACCAAAGGAGTCCAATCTTCGTCTCAGCTCACTGGATAGCGACAGCCATATAGTAAGACAGGGAGCACCAGGACTCAAGACTTGGACCTTTGTCCTCCTGCAAAAATATCATGGGCGCCACACACCCCTTTCATTCTCCCCGCAGACAGACACACTACTGATGGTTGTGCCCAAGAAGTCATTAACTGCCTGGATCTTGGTCTTTATCCAGGACACCCACAATCCCAGACACTCAGACTCCTCACTCAGTCTCTAAGAGCCCCGATCAGAGCCTCCAGTCACTCCGCGAAGATCACAGCATCGTCGGCAAAGTCAAAATCAGCAAATCTTTCTTCACCATCGGATGCCCCACAGCTGCTGGACCCCACAACCCTGCCCAACACCCAGTCCATACCAGCATTGAACAGAGTAGGACCAAGAACACACCCCTGGTGAACCCCTTGTTGCTTTTCAACTATGGCCGTTCCCGCTTTTAGTCAGGAAAATTTTATTCCCGCTTGTTGTATTTTGGCCGTTTAATACAATGTGTGCTACTAATGTGACTCATATACGTTTTTCTGTCCAGCTCTACAGATTTTTGCTTTCGCAGTTGTCTCGAGTTAAATGGTTATTATATACATTGATTTACTCTAATTGTGTTTGTAGTAAAGTGTATTTATTTAACTTAATCCACCAGACTGGTTTGATTATGTTACTCAGTTATGCTTTGGGTGACGCTGAAGCAGGACATTAATAGGACAGAACAGAGAGTCTTTATTGTCATTGTACAGGGAGGAAATAGGCATATGAAACGTACATATACAGGGGAGCTTGCTGATCCTGATTTATTTTTTGTTAAGCATCACATTTCACAATAAAAAATTATTATATAGGTTAAAAAGCAGAGATTTACTGTGGAGAACCAGCACCATGTTGTGTTGCTTTTCAGTAAGAATGATTCCTCCAGCATGCAGTGAGCTATCCCAGCATGCACAGCCTCACTGAGGAGTTTGAACTACAAAGCTCAAACCCTGGACAGAGGGGCTCAGTGAATGAGGGGGTGACCCTGTACAAGAGGGTCAGTCCATCAGTGGTGACTCTGTAGAAGGACAGAGCACCAGCCCCCCAGTCCAGATACACTGCTACTCTGCGGGAGCCTGAGGGCTCTGTGGTTGTGTCAGTGCCTTTATTATTGTGCTGGAGAATGAATTTGCAAGGATTACAGTACAGAACCCACGACTTGTCACTGACACCAAGCAGACAGTCATCCCCTCCTTTCCTCCCGATCCCTTTATAAGTCACTCCTATTTTAGCTCCATCTCCATCCCACTCAGCCTCCCAGTAACAGCGGCCAGTCAGACTCTCTCTGCACAAAACTTGGGGGCAGCCGTCAAATCTCTCTGGATGATCAGGATATGGCTGCTTCTTCCACACATGTGTTACCTTCCTGTTCTCCTCCGACAGAAACAGTTGTTTGTCTACTGTGTTGGGGTCCAGCGTCAGCTGGCAGGAGTCTGTAG